GCAGCTGCAGGAGTGCTGGCGCGGGGACCAGGATCGGGACCGGGACCGGGATGGGGATAGGGATGGGGATGGGGATGAGGATGGGGATGTGCCACAGTGGGCTGGGGGGCTAGTTCCCTATTGCACAGCTGTGTTCGGAGCCCTTGAAGCAGGCGGACTCGTAGTGCTTGTTGAGGTACGACTTGAGGGCAAAGGTCTTCTCGCACTGCTTGCACTTGTAGTGCTTGAAGGCGGAGTGGGTCTGCATGTGGGCGCGCAGGTTGGAGCGGTCGGCGAAGGCTTTCCCGCAGTGGGAGCAGCCGAAGGGCTTCTCCCCGGTGTGAGACCGCATGTGGCCCTGCAGCAGCCAGGGCCGGCTGAAGGCTTTGCCGCACACGTCGCACTTGTGCTTGAGGTTGTGGGTGAGGACGTGCATGGCCAGGGCGGGCATGGAGACGTAAGCCTTGCCGCAGGTGGGGCATTTCCTCGCCATCTTGCTGTCCAGGCTGCGGTGGGTCTGCTTGTGCCGGCTGAGGTTGGAGGAGGTGGCATAGGTGCCGCCCTCGGGGCAGGAGTGGCGGTGGCTGCCGCGGCGCTGGCTCTCGCTGCGCCGGCGTGACCGCCCGTCTGTGATGAAGAAGGCGTCCATGGAGTAGCTGTCCGTCACCGCCGCCTCCCCATTGAAGTAGCGGGCGGAAAAGCTGGACTGGGGGCTCTCGGGGTCGCTGTACTCCTCGTGGCTGGGTGCGTAGGCTGGGTCCGGCGGTGGCGGTGGCAGACCCTGCTTCTTGTCGGTGTCATAGCCGGCTGGTGCCAGGCAGTGCTGGAGGTACCCTGTGGGGACGACACAGCTGGGTGACCGTCCCTCTGGGCCAGCCCCACCGGGGACGGGGGAAAGCCACGAGCCAAAAACACCCATTGGGGGTGCAGAATCGGGGCTGTCCCCCCTGCACCAGTCCCTGTCCCCACTCAGCTGCCCCTGAGCACCGGAGCTGCCTTGTCTGCAGAGGGGCTGAGTCTGCCCAAGCTCCTGTCTGCATCTGCTGGCAGGATGGGTCCCACTCCCTGGGGCTGCCCTAGGTGGGAGCCGGGGATGGGGCTGTGGGACGTCCAGCTGTGCCTGCCCGGGTCCCGCACCGCTGCCCCGGCTGCAGGCAGCCCCCGGGGGCCATTAGCCGCCAGACAGCTGTCAGTGCCGAGAGCCTCATTGTTCACCGGGGCAGCCGCCAGTAATGAGCTCTACTCCATCCACCTCCTCGCCTCCAGAAACCCGGGGCAGACAGGGCGAGGGGAAAGAGGCAGCGCAAAGGGCTGGGAATGGCCCCCTGCCTCCCCCCGTCCCCCGCAGGGGCTATTCCCCAGGCATGGGGCAGCACCTGGAGGCCAGCAGCACTGGGGCCCTGGACTCCCACCAGGGAAAGGGACCCACAGCTCCCCAGGCACAGAGTGGGGCTCGGGTGCTACTCCAGTAGTGTCACCCCCGTGTGACATTGGTGCAGGTCTGCTCGTGGCCCGGCTCTGGGTAAGGGACTCCTGACCCGTGGCGGAGTGGGCACCACGTGGGCATCCCCGTCCCCCCGTGCTGGCACACGAAGGTCACCATGGGAGGAGCAGCGCAGCCCTCTCCCTGCCGGGCTAGCGGCCAGTGACCCTCTGGGACACGCTGCCGCCCTGGGTCTCCCAAACCAGTCCCAGTGGTCTCCTGCCTCGTGCACGCTGGCCCTTGCCAGCCACTTCAGAGGACACATCCCTGCTGTTGGTGACAGTGGGGGCTGTTGGGGGCCTGGGGTCGGTGCACGGCCAGGCTCACCCGTGCATGCCATTGGGGCAGCGTGGACACCCCACCCCAGCTGTGGCCGAGCAACCCCTAAATCCAGGCCCCCCCCACCCATGGGACCCCCTGTCCCCCTGTCCTGCTGACCCTGCGCGGGGCGAGCGCCTGCTGCCGTTTGTCCCATGGGAGGCTGGGGGTGTCTGTGGTGGGGAGGGGGCCGCGTGGTGGGGGCAGAGCTTGCCCACCCCCCTCCCCCCCCG